TTTCATGAGCTGTGCGAATTATAAAAGACAAAAATCTATGGAGACCGTAAATTATAAACAAATATTTTCACAATATTACGGGAGGTGCAGAAAATATGAGCCTTTGACAAAACGTAAAAGGCAGTATTCAAGAATTCGTTGATTAGACTCAACGTCGAATCAAAGTCCCGAATTAAATATGATTATTTTTAATACTCTCTAGTTCTTGAAGCCGGTTTTTATTTATAAATTAAAGGTAATTAATTCTTAACGCTTTTGAGTAGACAAAGGAATCTTAATGTAGTCTATATAGTATCACTAAAAATGCTGTTTTACCATCCTGGAAATTTTCTTCAAATTTATATGAGACCATCCTAATGAACTATTAAATAAAAAGAATGATTGAACGAATGGATCTGCTACACCGGGAATGGACCACGCTCTCGCAGAATACCAGAATAGCAACTCAAAGTTATTGTTTTTGGTATGTTGAGAACCGAATACCCTTTTTACAGGAAACGCGGCGTTCCATCTTATTCCTCAGATGCCAATGCATCTGAATTTAGATTCTTAATTGAGGATTGAGGATATGTAGATGTCCTTTTTCCTTAAAAAAATATTGAAAACCTCAACTTTTTTTCGAAGTATGCTAAAAAGACTACTCAAAATAAAAAGAGAGAAATTAATCGAAATATTGGTTTTTGGCATTAAAGTATAAAACAAAAATAATATGACAAAATCACTTCAGAGTCTAATATTAGGTAATAAACTGTCCTTAGGGAGATTACTCCTGACTTTGAGTGATAATTTTATTTAAACATACAATTTACGAATGTAATCTATTTTATGTAGGTATATTACTGAAGAAGGAAAACAATAAACAAAAAAGTGTTGAACACAAATGACGTAATAAGATACTTATATATTTTTTATTATCTATTAGTTATTTAAGGTATTGTTGTCATATTTCGTATTATTTATTAGTTGAGAATTTCAGGAAGAACGATTGCTGGTGCAGGGATGATTGGCTGAGCGACGACGACAGTCTCGGGCTTATCAGCTTCTTCGACGACGATGACGGGCTCGGGGACTATAGGCGTGTCCACGACGATGACGGGCTCGGGAACGATAGGCTTGTCCACGACGATGACGGGCACGGGGACAACAGGCTCAGCATTCACAGCTTCATCCACAACCTGAACAGGGGTAGGAGCGGGAGACTGAACGGTCTCAACGGAGACTGGAGAGCCAACAACGTCAGACGCAGATTGGATGTTCAAGATGATCTGCACAAGAGGAGCGCTGGCCGAGGATTCAACAGGAGCGGGCATGACAGGGGTGGGGTTGACATCAGCCACGGCACCACCGTCGGGCAAGGGGAAATCGACAACAGCGGGTCCGATGGCAATAGGCTCATAGTTGTCTACGATGGCGGGTCCGACATCTATAGGTTCGGGCTTAGCAATGCCGAGGATTTCCAGGAGCAATTCTTCAAGAGCAGCGGCGGTAGCAGGGTCAGTGCTGGGGCTCTGGATAGCAGCCACGATCTCCTGAATCTCAGGATTGTCGCTGGCAATGACTGCGGCAGGAATGACGCTGGCCGAGGCCACGGCAAGAAGAGCGAAAGCGATGAAGAATTTCATGTTCTGAAAATAAGAATGTATTTTATAGCAGTTAGTGCAACAAAACAAAGGAGCGCACCTCCTTAAAGCAAACTTTAGTAATATACATAATATAGATTAAGTACCTAAATGAAGATGCATTGTCACCGCTGAGGACTAAGATGGAATGAAACACAGCGGCATTATGGTATTATTTTATGTCGGTGTTGCATGAAGTCATGGTCTTTTCCCGTATGTGTAGATTCGCTCTGCAGCCATAACACATGCGTTCTATCCTTCAATCGATATGGGATATGCGGCGCATTGAGCACAGCATGGGTCGGGAAAGTAGCGGGTTTGTCTCTGTGTAATCCTTCCTATGTGCAAACTTCCACCATCATTACCACAGCCTGTGACAAGTACCTCGCTGCCTATCTTCTATTTCATTTCTCTCGATCGCCACAGAATGATATTGTTACACCACTACTAAACGGTACATGTTTACACAACGTCTCCGTGTCAAATACACGGAGACGTTGTTAATAACCTTAATACCAACGCTGGGCGGGCAGTTTAGCAATGCGCGCCACCAGTGTGAAAATTTAGGCTTGGATTAAACGCGATGGATCCGATAGTTGGGAGGTATCCCTTCTATCCTGGTTTCCCATTTGATCTTCCTGAGATTTCCAACGGTCGACTCTTAGGACACTCAGGAGACGAAATAAGGTGATAAAATTTTTGCAGCACTTACGTTTCTATTAAACTGTCTGTTCAGTTGATAATATATTGTTACAAAATATAGATGACGATATACCTAGGTATCAAACAGTTTGAAATTTTATACATACCCTGACACTTAAGTAACAAATACGAAAATATAATATGTGAATACTATGTTAAAATTGAAATTATTAAAAACGGTAGCATTTAAGAGTTCTTGTTATACAATATTATAATGGAATAATTTATCAAATTTAAATACTTACTCTGAGTCTGTAATACTCTCAACAACTATACCGAACAACTTCTCATCTGGGATATTTATACCAAAATACGTTATCTTTAACTTTAATTTTATCTCAGATAAAATTTTAATTTATTGGCTCGATATATTAAAAGCCTGATTAAGATAATATTTATTTTGCTATCAAAAAATTCCTTAGGTCTCTTGCGACACCAACGGGATGATTTGGCGTAATGAGTTCTTTTAAATCTATTAATTCTTCGAAGTATTTCTAATTTCTCAGGTATACAGGATTTCTCAAGATGTTTTTCTTCACCGCCGAGTTTGTAAATCAGCACTTGAAAATGCAATCAACAATTCCTTTAGCGTCGTATTCAGGGAAATCTCGGAAACAGCAAATAAAAATCCGGTATCACAGTACTAATTAAATCTCGATACCAGAAATTCCAGTATTATAAAAGATTCAGTTTTGCAATACCTACAGATAAACACAACATTTATCGACAGAAGCATTTAGTTAATTAAATATGACACACGAAAGTCGGTTTTCCGAAAATAATTCACATATTTTTTAAATTTTATAACCTATATATTTAAACTAACTAACTGCTTTAATCTACTCTTCTAGTCACTAAAATTCCAAAACTCGTATAACATACGTACTCATACGTGGTAGAGCCATGCTGCGGTTCCATCAGTAGTATAGTTGTAGCACGAATGGGTCGGCTCAACCGGGGAAGGACCACGCTCTCACAGAATACCAGCGTAAAATATTAGCTTAATTCTACTGTGTTTCGTCGAACCGGAGACCATTTTTACTGGAAATGAGGGATTTCATCTCAGTACTCATCTGCATTTTGACTTACCATCAGGTGGACTGTGTGCTCGCTTGTCACCCTATCCTATAGATAAAAAAAACATATACAGGGCTATTTTGCAATAACAGGCCAAGTTTGCAGAGGTGGTTCAGAATAAGTATAAAGTTAATGAATAATGCTATATCGAAATTAGTGCATTGGTTTAACGTTAATAATCTACATTTAATCGGCAATAACATTAAATGTATTTAATTTTTAATTTACAACAACAAATGGCCGTATGAGGGTGCTCAAAGTCGCTCAGCGAGCTATGGAGAGGGCTATGCTCGGAGTTTCTCTGCGTGGAAAACTTAGAAATGAGGATATCCGCAGTAGAACCAGAGTGACCGACATAGCCCGACGGATTAGTAAGCTGAAGTGGCAATGGGCCGGCCATATAGCTCGAAGAACCGACAAGCCTCGTACCGGTAGGCGAAGTGTAGGGCAACCCCCCACTAGATGGAGTGACGACCTGGTAAGACATGCAGGAAGTCGATGGATGCAGGTAGCTCAGGACCGTGCTTTGTGGCATACCTTGGGGGAGGCCTATGTTCAGCAGTGGACTTGTGAAGGGCTGTAATGATGATGATGAAATATTAATAATCAGAGTACCAATGTGTTTTTTAATTGGGGAAGGACAAAGGATTCAACAGGACTCAGCCTGTTGAATCCTCTGTTTTTCTTGGCATCACTCTCGACGTTAAGCTTCAGTGGAGCCCCCGTATATCTAAACTAGCAGACTAAGCTCTGCAGCTTATGCTGTAAAAGATTAGAGATCTCACTAGTATCGAGACAGCTAGATTAGTTTATTTCAGTTATTTCCATAGCATAATATCATATATGTGTTTGCAAGTTCGATTCACTTAATTCATGAGGTACCCATCGTTCAAGTTTTGTTTACTTTCCCGATTTACTTCAAGTGGATTAATACCGTTTTATTACTTACCCCGAAGCCTGCAGCTATCTTTGAAGTACTTTGTGATGGATCCGCTTCCACAATAGGCTTTAATTCTTCATTTTCCACTTTGGTCTCCGGCCGTCCACGGGGTTGGTTCTGAAGATCGAAATTTCCAGAATGAAAACGTTAAAACCAAAAACGTACCGTGCTTTCTTTTGCAGCTGATTTAGAAACTATTTTTGTTGTGCAGAAGAGGGCCATTAGAGCTATTTACAACTTTAAACCGAGAGAGTCTCTTAGAGAAACATATAAAGAAATAAATATATTCACTTTGGCCTCTCAGTATATCTATGAAAATTTGATGTATATTCACAAAAACAAAGGTATTTTAGTAAAAAGTGGCATACACTGTAAACACTAGGAACAAACACAAGCTGGTGCTACCAGTTTCTCGACTCCACAGAGTCAGTAATTCATTCTTGGGGCAACGTATACGCTATTACAACAAAGTCCCTGAAAATATACACGGTCTCTCTATTACTAAGTTTAAATATTTAATTAAACAAAAAAATTTATAAAAAGTAATAAAATGTATAAAAATATTAATAAATTATTATGTTTAAAAATTTCTGATTGATGAGATTTGAGAGATGAAAATTCAAATATATTATTTGAATTTTCTTTATTTTTAGATCGCCAATATGAAACATTTCGTCGTATTCTCCCTCCTGTTCGCTGTAGCCTCGGCCAGTGTTCTTCCCGCCAGTGAAAACCCCGAAATCCAGAAGATCGTGGCCGCCATCCAGAGCCCTAGTACCGACCCCGCTACAGTTGCCGCCCTTGAACAAATGCTCCTCGATGTCCTCGGCCTTTCTAAGCCTGAACCCATCGATGTTGGACATGCAATCGTTGACAATTACGAACCCATCTCCATTGGACCTGCCATCGTAGACTTCCTTCTGCCCGACGGGGGTGCTGTAACTGATGTGGAGCCCAGCCCTGCTTTTCCGTCACCCTCCTCATCCCCTCTAGTCCAAATTATTATTAAAATCAACCAAACTTTGGCTGACGCCATTAGTGGTTCCCCTGTCGCCGTTGAAACTGTCAACCCACCAAAACAGTAGGTTCCTGACCTAGTTGTTGTGGTCAACAAACCAATTATGCCAGACCCCGCTATCGTTACTCGCGAAATCCGTAGCTAAATAATCGCCACTTTAAATATTGTTAGATTAAGGAAACAAAAACAAATGTAAATAAACATTCATTGTGTTTTATTACACTTCCTGTGATCTGTGAAAATGGAAATTATTTTTTATATAATATCGTTCCACCGTTTTGAGGAAATCGTGAATAACGTTTCGTGAACATACATTTATATTTTCAGTTCCATAAGTCATCACTGGGTTATTAAAGGTATTCGTGGTTTGCAAACTGATTCCCCTTAAGCACATCCGGTGATTACTTTTGCCTCTAATACATTTTTATGGAGAGCTCTTATTTGTAGTCTGATATTATTGCATAATTTTGGAGGTTTTAAGTTAAGGGTGAGAATATGAGCTCGACGGGATAATTTACTGCATCATTAACTTGTATTACTGAATCCACAGATTTATAGCTAATTTCTTACCCTTCAAATGATTTTAGCAAAAGATCGTTAATATTATGCGCCGTGTCATTTTTAGACGTCAAAATAACATGCTCGTATAACCAGTCTACGGGTTTTTTCACAATGTTAGCGATGGTATTACTTTGGCGGTAATCCCTGAGAGTTTTTACTACTATGGACAGACTTGTTGGTATTACAACTTTACTATCTACTGTATAGGATAATCTCCTTACCCTATTTGAATTAAAGTCCGGTGCAAACTGACCAGCGGTAGAACTATCTTTCAAGAATACTCTCATATTTGTACTCTCGTGTTTTCGTTTTCAGGTATTGAGGTATATCTGACGAGAAGATATGTCGTAGTTTCCTGATACTCATTGTTATAAAACGAGTCAAATAAAGGTCAGAGTCTTATTGCAACAGTTCCCAAAAACCTCAGAAAATATTCAGTCTGCATTTTTTGCGCATCGGCAAACATTTTGGGTACCCAAAGTGCAGAAAGTTCTTCCATCCATAAACTTTTATATTAAAAACACACTCTAAGTCCTAGTAGTTAGTGGTAGTAGTAAAGGTAATTTATTTATTTATTTTAAAAGATATTTATTTATTTAATACAATATAGCGCTAAGCTACAACCCCACCTGGTGGTATGGGATGATGAATCCCTACATGCAATAGCACTTTCTTATAGCTTAACAAAAGCCTTTTCACTCTTCCTTTAATAGATACCCAGAATGTAATCAGACGCATAGACAGATGCTGAAAAATTGTCCGACAACTTTGCTGTGCGCATTCATCATTATAATTTTCATTAAATTATCACGTAGAGAAACTCCGAGCATAGCCCCCTCCATAGCTCGCTGAGCGACCTTGAGCGTCCTCATACGGCCAGCAGTGAAAGACTACGTCTCAGATCCGTAAGTCATCACTGGCAACACGCACTGGTTGTACAATCTAGGTTTTAGAGATTGAGGTATACTGACGAGAAGATATGTCGTAATTTCCCGAACGCTGCCCAGCCGAGTTGAAACCGTCGATTGACCTCTCGGTCGAAGTTGGACTTACCTAGTCGGACTACTTGTCTCAAGTAAACATACTCGTCAAGAACTTCGAGATTAGTTCTCCCAACAATCACCGGCATACGTGTGACATGGACATTACACATGAATTTTGTTTTGTCCATGTTCATCTTAAGGCTCATCCGTTGGGATACACTATTGAAGTCTTTGAGCATAGTGCTTAGGTTCTCCAGCAATTCTGCACTAAGGACTATATCGTCGGCAAATCGAAGGTGAGCGATGTACTTGCTATTGACTTTAATACCGTATACCTATAAGAGTTTCGAGGATATAACGTCACCTTGTCTTACACCTCTCCGCAGTTGGATAGGTTTCGTACTCTGGTTCTGTACTCGGATAGCCATCGTAGCCCTACTGTACTAACACGTCAGCATTTCGATATTCCGACAGTCAACTTGGCACCGCTGAAGGGACTGTAGCACCGCCCAAATTTCAACGGAATCAAAGGCTTAAAGATGGTAAGAATTATTTCGCACATATTCGCTCACTAAAATAAAATTCTTACCAACTTTAATACAATGGATTTCCGCAAAGTAACGCCTAATTTTATTAATAAGGAATCAAAGGTTTTTTCATAGTCCATATATGCAAGGCAATCTGCCGCAAGGTGTGGTCTATGGTACTGAAGTCTTTTCGGAAACTGGCATGTTCGGGAGGCTGAAAGTCTGCGTGCGAGACGATTTGTCTTCAGCTTCGACAGTTGACTTTTTCTGGTCAACAGATTTTCGGCAAAGACTTTGGAGCCCTGATTCCGCTCGATCGCTTCTTCAACACGAGCTTTATTGAAGTTGCGTAAATCCCGCCGCATGCGTTTGGAGATCTGTCCGTTTAGTTGCCTGTATGCTGTCAAATTTACTGAAGACTGCAGCTTCATCTCCCGTCTAACAGCCATAAGATTAAGAGTGTGATCGGAGAGTTTTTGTGTTCTTCTGCGACGGGTCTTACTGAACTTAGGTCCGATCACATGTATAGTTTCTACAAACTTATCATTAATATCATCCACTGCATTGCAGTCTTCTAGGCACTGAAAATGATTTTGTCCACGATTTCGAGCACGAGTGGGACGGAGCGTTGACTTCATAAGACGTGACGTCTCGAACTTTACGTTTACGTTCAATGTGCCTAAACGTGAAGTTGAAGACGTGGTTCACCATACGGTGAGAGGCACACTGCCAGTTTTCACCCTTGCGATCACTGAGACATCACTGAACAGTTGTTTTCTGGTCGTCATAATGTGGTCCAATTTATTTTTTTGTCGAACTGTCGGGGCTCGACCAGGTCCACATTTTGTGGGGCCGCTTTTGGAAGAAAGTGTCTATCATAAAGAGAGCATCTTTCTCCATAGAATAGTGGGTATTGAAGAAATGCATGGTACTAGAGATATCCTACTACATTTTCTCCACCTTCTCATGGGGATGTGCCGAGGATGGTGCGTAAATCTGTATGATCTTCAGCAAATACCGTTCGGTGATTCTGAGTATAAGGTACGCAACCCTCGCAACACTCCCAAATTTTACAACGTTATTAACGAGAGACTTTTGGACGATCAATCCAACACCTCCTTGAGACAGATGGTCGACCTCCCGGAGATAAAACAAGTTGCCGGATTCGAGGATTACCGTGTCCTCCCCCTCTCTTCGGACCTCGGATAATCCTATAATATCCCATCCTAACTTGTTTATCTCTTCTTCCAGCTCCAAGATCTTCTCGTCAGTCCTCAGGGTGCATGCGTTACAAGGTCGAGTTGTCTTAGTTGGCAGCTGCAGCTGAACCTCCACTGAAGATTCTTGGCACCCCCTGCCCCGCCGTTACCACGTTCGCCACTGTAACCAGGAATAGCAGGGCCGCCGGGGACTGGGGGCCGTTTATTTGTGACGTCGCTCATGGGGTTATATTGCCATAGTTGCCACGCTTGGCGAGCGGGTTGGCAACCGCAATTTTTATTGCTTTTTGCTGTGTTATAGAAAGATGTTGCAGCCCATCTTCTGCCTCAGTTTCCCTCTGTCGCCTCTTACGACACCCACAGGAAGATATGGGGTTGTGGGTATTCTTGCCCGCCACTACACGGGTATAAGTATGTGGTTAATGAAGTTAAAGTAAAAAATGAGATGAAAAATTATGAATAAGTAAATAAGGGAAGAGTATTTTAAAATACCGGGTGGCCCATAAGTCCCTCGAAATGTAAAAAAATAATTTAAAAAAAACTAATGACATTATGAAAAAGGTTTTTATTTTGTCATAATCCTTATAAAATGGGAATTATTTTTTTGAAAATTACATCATCTAAATGTAATCCGTTACGATTGCGGCACTCCTGTAAGCGACGTTTAAGATTATCCATCACTGCGCGGCAAGTAAGCTCTGTAATGTTTGCCATTTCTCTTTGGATATTTTCTTTCAGGACGTCAATTGTCCGCGGGTTGGTTTCGTACACTTTAGTCTTAAGATAACTCCATAAGAAAAAGTCCATTGGGGTCAGATCTGGACTACGTGGTGGCCAAGGAATATCTCCTCTTCGAGAGATCACTTTATTAGGGAAAAGTTGACGGACGACCGGCACAGCGACGTTAGAGGTATGGGCAGTTGCTCCATCTTGTTGAAACCAGGTCCACGTATTGAAGCCTGGAAAATTCTGCAACACTGGTGTAAAAAAATCCTGGATCATAGCTACATACCATTGTGAAGTAACAGTAAGCGCGCGGCCTCTGCCGTCCTCAAAAAAGTAAGGGCCTATAATGCCATGCGCTGACATAGCCGCCCAAACTGTCACTTTAAGGCTATGTAAGGGCTTTTGATGTTTGCGATTTGGATTTTCGCAACTACAGTAGCGACAATTTTGCTTATTACATGGCCGTTGATGTGAAAGTGAGCCTCATCAGAGAATAACACGTTATTAAACGAAGTAAAGCGGTTCAACATTTCATTTGCGAAATTTAGTCTGTGGATAGTGTCAGTATCTTTTAATTCCTGTACTATCTGAATCTTGTACGGGTGACGATGTAAATATATCTTTAAAATTCGCTGTAACGATGTTCTGGGTAAGTTTAATGCACTGGAACGCTTACGAGTAGACTGGGTAGGATTTTCACGAATTGAGTGTTTCACTACATCGATGTTTTCTTCCGTCCGTGATGTCCTTGGTCGACCTGACCGTTGTTTACCCAACGTCGAACCACTCTCTTCGAACTTAATAACCCAGTTCTTAATCGTTTGAACACTTGGAATGTCTTTAAAGTTGCGTAAATTCTGATATTCTCGAAATTTACGCCGCGCAATGGTAGCCGAATCATTGTTTCGATAAAACTCGCGCACACAAAATGCACGGTCCACACCGGTGAAACGCTCCATGGCAACTGAATTCCCAGAAACCGTCGGTACTCCCCCCGCACCGCGCGCGCCACTCATGCGCGCCTTTTGTATTTTATTCGAAATTTACATT